GGGCCTTCAGTCAGTATGTTTTACAAAAGGGAAGAGTCCTCATTTAGTTGGAGGTGAGGATGAAGATGAGGTGATCAAAATGAGTCCTGTAACTGATTGGATTTTAAGGCACTTCACATTCAATGGTCAGGTAGAGGACAGAGAGCTTACAAAGGAAAACGAGACAGCAGCAGAAAGGAGACAACCAGGATTGTGGGTTGGATGGAATCCAGGGGAAGATCTTTTTATGCCCCTCTGAAGTGGAACAAGACGAGGGCCAAAAATTGTTTATCCGATTTACCCACTCTGGTTTTAAGACTGTAGTCAAAGTGTTTTTGGTGGAGAAGTATACACTGAAGCCAGAGTGCCTGGGATGGGGAGTGAGTGGGGAAAGGAATGGAAATAAGGGGTATAGGCAATCCTTTCAAAATATTTGGCTCAAAGGGAGAGAAATAGCTGAGATTGGGTGAGTGAAGTACAGACTTAAAGGAAGGATTTTAAGATGAGAGGAACTTGAGCATGTACAAATGTCAGTGGGAAGAATCACTTTAAGAGAGACTGGTTAGAAACCCAGGAGAGAGGGGGCTAGTGGCTAGTTAATAGTGTAGGGTTCTCAGAAGAAGGGAGGGCATAGTCTCTGAAGCACAGTGGAGGGATTGTCTTACATAGGAGGGGACCTGCTTCCTCTAGTGTGACAAGAGGAGGGAAGGAGAAGGTTGGTGAAGATAAAGATGGAGTTTTCAGGTTTGATAGTGAGAAGGTGAGGGAGTGCCCATTTTGGGGCTTCATGTTTTTCTGTGAAATTGCAAATTAGGTTATACAGAGATGACAATGGTGGGAAAAGGCTTGAGTAGCAGAGAGAGTTAACCAGAGAGAAGTTCAGTGGAATTACTGGACAGTGTTGAGGGCCCATTTGTAGTCGGTAGGCCTACCTATTCTTACTCCCCCCCCCTTTTTTTTAATAATATCTTTATTGTTGAAAGTATTATGTCTGTCCCCTTCCCCCCCCGATATTCTTTCTTAATAAATATTTTTTTTTAAATGTTGTGTTTTTTTAAATATGTTTTTATTGATTTCAGAGAGAGGAAGGGAGAGGGAAAGAGAGATAGAAACATCAATGACGAGAGAGAGTCATCGATTGGCTGCCTCCTGCATGCCTCCAACTGGGGATCAAGCCCAAAACCCAGCCCTGGCTGGGAATTGAACTGTGATCTCCTGGTTCATGGGGTGACGCTCAACCACTGATCCACACCCGCTGGGCTTAAAGTATGTTTATTGACTTATTTTGTTTTTTTTAGAGGAAGGGAGAGGGAGAGAGAGAAACATCGATTGGTTGCCTCCTGCACGCACCTGGGCCGGGGATTGAACCTACAATCTGTATATGTGCCCTGACCTTTCAGTGCGTAGGATGGTGCTCTAACCAGTGAGCAACACTGGTCAGGCCCAAACCCTTTGTTCTCTATGAGTTCGAGGTGTAGTGGTTTGTTGTCACTGAGACATTTTTCCAGGCTGAGAGTGCTCTTTTCCAGTCCACGTAGGGAAGTGGAGTACGAAAGAATTAAGCTCTTTAGCTCTTCTAGTTAGATCTTTAAACTGTGGCTTTGTTGCTTTTTCCTCCCAAACAAATTCCTAGGATCCTCCGATATCCCTAATACGAAAATGTAAACACATCCTTTCCGTAGACAAATATGTTGCTTTTGAATACTCCATATCTCTAATGCACTCTATTCCTAGTGGATCTGATGGTAATATTGACATTAACTGTGGTGTTTCTCAAAAGCGCCATGCTCTCACTTCCTCCTTGTGGTGACCATGAAGGTGAGGTTGAAAGCATGGGGTATTGTTGCTCTTTAGTCCCAGGACCCACCCCCAACAATGGATTTGGCTGTGGCTATTCTGAGGGACCTTCTCCGATATGCAGCCCAACTTCCTACACTCTTCCGGGACATCTCCATGAACCACCTCCCTGGTCTTCTCACCTCTCTGCTGGGCCTCAGACCAGAGGTGAGACACCCCCCCCCCCC